GGGGGAGTGGGTCCGCCTCCCCGCCACTCCGTGGCCCCTGAGGGCCTGGCGGGACACGACCGGTGGGGATCAAGGAGGATGACCTGGCGCGACCGAGGGTCAGTCGACCGGCCCAGGTCAAGCGGCGGAAGGCGATGCGGAGCGGGGCAGAGGCCACCACTGCAGACACACCTCCTGAGAGACACCGAGGGTGCCCCATGCGGGCGGGACCCACGACAGCAGTGACCAACACCAAAGGGCGTCGCTGTGTGCTGATGCCAAGGGGGGTGGGGAGGAGGGAAGGGAAGTGCCTGGGCTCCCCCAACCCTTCCCGGGCCTCTCAAGCCACCCCAAGCAGGGAAAATGATGAGGGAGGAGGAGGAGGTCCAGAGAGGGGCAGTGATGGTGAGATGGGGTGGGCCGGGCGGCTGCTGCCCAGAGTCCCAGGAGGAGGGACTGGCAGGGTGGGGGACACAAGGACCCTTCTCCCCGTGACACTGTGAACCTCCCCCTCCTTCCTCGGACACACCTGGTTCTGCCATTGTCGTCATCGTTGCCCTCCCCACCCGGGGGGGGCCTCCTCTTTCTTGCCACCTACCATCGAGATAAACCGAATGAAACTCTGGTGGCCCACCCGCAGGGCCCCGACCAGACTCGGACATGCGCGCGCCGATGGTGGCGGCGGAGACTCACCTCCGGTTAATGATTCTTCTGCAGGTTCACCTATGGAAACCTTGTTACAATTTTTACTTCCTCTAGATAGTCAAGTTCGACCGTCTTCTCAGCACTCCACCAGAGCTGTGGGCCGACCCCGGTGGGGCTGATCCGAGGGCCTCACTAAACCATCCAATTGGTAGTAGCGACAGGCAGTGTGTACAAAGGGCAGGGACTTAATCAACACAAGCTTATGACCCGCACTCACTGGGAATTCCTTGTTCATGGGGAACAATTGCAATCCCTGATCACCATCACGAATGGAGTTCAATGGGTTACCCGTGCCTGCCAGCATAGGGTAGGCACACGCTGAGCCAGTCAGTGTAGCGCACATGCAGCCCCAGACATCTGAGGGCATCACAGACCTGTTATTGTTCAATCTCGGGTGACTGAATGCAACTTGTCCCTCTAAGAAGTTGGGGGACACCGACTGCTCGGGGGTCGCGTAACTAGTTAGCATGCTAGAGTCTCGTTCATTATCGGAATTAACTAGACAAATCACTCCATCAACTAAGAACGGCCATGCACCACCACCCACAGAATCGGGAAAGAGCTATCAATCTGTCAATCCTGTCTATGTCCGGGCTGGGTGAGGTTTCCCGTGTTGAGTCAAATTAAGCTGACTGGGCCATGCAGGCAACACAAACTGGTAAGGATGCTGCCTCCCATTCTAAGGCAAGGCCTGGACTGGGAAGAAACTGAGGCAGGGCCCCCACCTGTCTGTTTTTAAGCCAAAATTAACATATAGATTAAGTTAGTATAAACCAAATTAGCATTAGAAGCATATGTAGACTAAGTTAGTCCTAAATGAAAAACCCAGCAAAAAAAAAAAAAAACCCTTTTTTTTTTTTTTTTTTTTTTTTTTTTTTTTTTTTAGAAAGGAAAAGCCTGACTGGCAAGGACAGGATGAACAAACCTGAGGGGTCCAGAGAAAGATTAACCATTTTAGCTGGGAGTTCTTATCTAAAGCAACAGGTAGCTTTCAACTACAAAGAGTTTCTCATCTATGTGCTGTTGACTATGAACAACTGCTAATAAAACATCCTATGTTGTCTCCTGAGCTACAAGATCATCTACATTTCCCATATAAGATCATAGACTCACCCTCTATTGTTGTAATGTATAGATAGTCCATATATTAACTGTGTCTTTATTTAACAAGATTTCTATCTAGGTCTTTGTATTCAGCAAAGTTATCAAACTGGCCTGGGACTAAAACTATCAAACATCCTGCAAGCCCCCTCTTCAAAAGACCCTTCCCAGTAATCAAGATCTAAGAAAAAGATACACAGACAAATGAACTTCCTCATCCTGAGAACTGTGATTGATTTTACCTGATCTGACAAGATAAACAGCATGTTTTATAATTATTGCTTCCATACTTTGTATACCCTGTTCCTTAGAGTAAATTTTTTACTACCCCTCACCCTCCTTACTTCCTAAACCTTCCTCAATAAATAGGCATGTTTTAATAGCCACGGCACGGCAGCCTGGAGCTGGTTCTGGCTGTGGCCAGCTGAGAACATGCTAAGGAGCAATGAGGTCTCAGTCTAATTTTTTTGTTCCTGATCACCCAAGTTGCCTTCCTGTGAACGAGCCACACGCCACGGCCGAGGCCAGACCCTGGCATTAAGCCGCAGGCTCCACTTCTGGTGGTGCCCTTCCGTCAATTCCTTCAAGTTTCAGCTTTGCAACCATACTCCCCCCAGAACCCAAAGATTTTGGTTTCCCAGAAGCTGCCCGATGGGTCATGGGAATAATGCTGCCGCATTGCCAGTTGGCATCATTTATGGTCGGAACTACAACGGTATCTGATCATCTTCAAACCTCTGACTTTTGTTCTTGATTAATGAAAACATTCTTGGCAAATGCTTTTTCTCTGGTCCGTCTTGTGCGGGTCCAAGAATTCCACCTCTAGCGGCGCAATACAAATGCCCCCGGCCATCCCTCTTAATCATGGCCTCAGTTCCGAAAACCAACAAAATAGAACCGCGGTCCTATTCCATTATTCCTAGCTGCGGTATCCAGGCGGCTCGGGCCTGCTTTGAACACTCTAATTTTTTCAAAGTAAATGCTTTGGGCCCCGTGAGACACTCAGCTAAGAGCATCAAGGGGACACCGAGAGGCAAGGGGCGCCTCGCAGCAGACCACCCGCCTGCTCCCAAGATCCAACTACGAGCTTTTTAACTGCAGCAACTTTAATATACGCTATTGGAGCTGGAATTACCATGGCTGCTGGCACCAGACTTGCCCTCCAATAGATCCTAATGGATACTCGTTAAAGGATTTAAAGTGGACTCATTCCAATTACAGAGCCTCAAAAGAGTCCTGTATTGTTATTTTTTGTCACTACCTCCCCAGGTTGGGAGTGGGTAATTTGGGCACCTGCTGCCTTCCTTGGATGTGGTAGCCATTTCTCAGGCTCCTTCTCTGGAATCAAACCCTGATTCCCTGTCATCCATGGTCACCATGGTAGGCACGGCAACTACCATCGAAAGTTGATAGGGCAGACGTTTGAATGGGTCATCACCACCACAGGGGGCGTGCGATCAGCCCGAGGTTATCTAGAGTCACCAAAGCCACTGGCGCCCGCACCCCCGGCCCAGGTGGGGGGGAGCTGACCGTTGGTTTTGATCTGATAAATGCACACATCCCCACCTTGTCAGGGGTCAGCACCCGTAAGCATGTATTAGCTCTATAATTACCACAGTTATCCAAGTAGGAGAGGAGCAAGTGACCAAAGGAACCATAACTGATTTAATGAGCCATTTGCAGTTTCACTGTACCAGCCATGTGTACTTAGACATGCATGGCTTAATCTTTGAGATAAGCATATGCTACTGGCAGGATCGACCAGGTAGAGAGCGATGACAACAGAGTAGGCAGACGGGGAGGGAGGAACTGAGGGGGCTGCGGCACGTGGTGTGTGTGCCCGCAGTGGCTTGTCCCCCGCCC